CCCCCCCCCCCCCAGTCCCTCATTCTGTAATTGCTAATTCAGGAAACCTTACCGCTGGCTTTCCAAAAGGCTCATCCAGCTGTCCTCCTTGGGGGCGCCTCTCTTGTTCTGTTGTGGCCAGCAGAACGGCACGAGGGTTGAGGCCAGTGGGGTAAGATGGACCTGGGTTCAGCCACCTCAGTACTTGAGTTCTGGCTAGGGAAGAATTCAGAGCCAAGACCCAAACTATAAGAGAACATGTATGTGGAAAATCACAGAGGTAGAAGAAGTAACCGATAGAAGAAATGGGCTTAGGGAATAAGTTATAGAGGTAAAGGCAGGGCCCTTGGAGCCTGGGAGTGAGGAAGCGAATAGTAATACCCTGAATAAGGAGAGAGAAAGGCACAGCCGTGGGCCGGGTCCTTTATCCTAAGGGTTTCAAGGGTGGAGATTTTAGGGTCGGTCCCAGGGGGAGATCCTAATAGAATATTCAGCAGCATTCCAGGTGTGTCCTTTTGGGGTCTGGGTCTCCCCTGATGGATTGCTCAGCACCAAGGCTGCGGTCATTATTCAGTGCAGCTGGTCCTGAGGTCATCTGTGGCTGGTGTTGTTGCTTTTCTGGGGCAGCAGCTGACATACAACTGAGGCCTAGATGTTATCTCTAGGGAGGGAAGGTCAGGGGGGTCCAAACCGAATGACCAGCGATATCCTAGGGGAGGAAGGTCACCCTGGGGGCCCGGTCCCACCCTACCGTGTCCATTGCTAGGTATCTGGGGCTGTCCACTAACTGCCCACCACATTCCTCCCAAACATCAAATCTGCCCCAAGGCCTGTGGGGACAAAACCAAAACATCACTCTCTTGGGACTCTTCTCTCCATTCTAGCTCTAAAACTACAGAACTGCATGTCGAAACTTAGCCTAATGGTCAAGAGGACACTTTGGAGTAGCCAGATGTTCTCTGAAACAGATATGAACATGACTTTCCCTCTTTAAAGCCCCACACAGCTGCCCCATTTTCTTCAGCATAGTACCTGCTCCTCAAGTGTGTATTATATGGCTCTTCAGTTACAGGGCCACTGTATGACCCACCCCCAGCAGTTTCATTTATCACACTTCATCTGCTAGCCAGCACCCATGCTTCTTGATCTGCTTTCATTCAGCTCTCTCTCCTTTCTCTCTACTCTTCTCTACTCTCTCTCTCTCTCTCTCTCTCTCTCTATCTCTATCTCTCTCTATCTCTTCTCTCTCTCCCACTCCCTCCCTAGTCTTATTCTATTCCTTCTACCTGGGAATATGGAAGCTTCTCTCATATGGGGAAATTCTACTCCTGCATCAAATTTTAGCTTAAAAAATTTCTAAATACATATTTTATTTCAGAGAAGAAGAGAGAGAGATAAAGAGAGTGAAACATCAATGTTGAGAGAGAATCATCAATTGGCTGTCTCCTGTATGCCCTTACTGGGGGTTGGGCCCAAAATCAGGCATGTGCCCCCACTGGGAATCAAACTGTGACCTGGTTCATAGGGTCCATGCTCAACCACTGAGCAACACTGGCTGGGCTAGCTTAAATTTTACATTCTTCTCTGCAGAGTTTACTACCACACTATACTCTTCTCCCATGAAGAATTGGGTAGTTTCCCATCTTTGTAAATTACCACCATCAAGAACTTGTTTTATGTTAATTTTATGTTAATTGCCTGTTTGCCAGTTCCTTCACAAGACTCCAAGTTAAGGCAGGGACCATATCTGTGTCCTTCACCACTGCAACCCCTTGTATGACTAAAAAAAAAAACACCACCAAAAAACAAAACAAAAATATCTCTGTGATAAAGAAGTCACAGTCTAAGTGAGGAAATAGGAACTAAACTAAATATAAACACAGAACACAGATTACACTGTATAAGTGCCAAGAAAATTGTATAGCAATTAGTGGTGTGAGTACTAGCACACTTGTGCCTCCCGTAGCTCCTGTAAAAAGGCTCTCACCTCTCTAAACCTGTTTTCACACTTGTTAAACAGGGACAATGATGCCGGCTCTCCGTTCTTGGCTTCTTGCAGGAAAGATCTCACAACATGAGTCCAGGTGATTTTGAGAGTATGTTCATTAAAGTTGAACAAAGGAAGGTCTTAAGATAGAAGAGGCAAGACATAGCAACAGCAGTGAGCCTAGGTGGGGCTGCCTTGGCCTTTTAGGAAGTCATAGAGGCAGAAGAAGTGAGCCATCTGGGCTGTGTGGACTCATGAACAAAGTTACTGAAGCAAAAGAAGGGTCCTTGAAGAAAGAAAACAAAGATCTGTGCCTTAGGAAAGAAGGGGGAAGGTGAAGAGTGGTCCAGAGAGAGAGAGAGAGAGAGAGAGAGAGCTGGAACTGGGTCCATTGCCTTAAGAGTTCTTAACCTGTTTTCTAAAGGCAGGAGTTTTAGGTGAGGTCTCAGGTGAGGATCGAAACAGAATATTCATCAGCTTTCCAGGTGTGGTAGGCAGTTAGATGGGAGCAGAGCAAGGACAATGGGCCAGATCAGAAGGTCACCAGGGTGGAAAGCCCTGGGTGCCTAGCAGACAACAATTGTAGGGTGGAACCCTGACTCCAGGCTGACTTTTGCTCCCCTAGGATATTGCTGGACATGAGGCTTGGATCCCCCTGACCTTTTCTCCCTAGAGATAACATCTAGGCCTCAGTTGTATTTCAGCTGCAAAACCAGCCACAGAGGACCTCAGGGCCAGCTGCATTGAATAGTGACCCTCTGGTGCTGGCCAATCAATGAGTGGAGACCACAACCCTGAGAGGACACACCTGGAAAACTGCTGAGTATTCCAAGAGATCTTCCCCTGGTGCCTCCCCTGAAATCTCCATCCTTAAAACCCTTAGGACCAGGATGCAGAGAGCTCTCACTCTTGGGAGCAGAGAGCTCTCACTCTTGGGAGCATGCCCTCCTCATTCCTTTTCCCTTTCCTTCTTCCACCTCCTCCTCTCCCCAGGTGTGTTACCACTAGTGTCCTCACTCCCAAGTTCCAAGGGCCCATCCTTTACCTCTATGACTTGCTTCCTAAGCCCATTTCTTCTAGGAATTACTTCTTCTACTTGTAGGGTTTTATAAATGATCACCCCCAACTGCCCTCCTCTGCCGGCTTGGTCGCCCCCAACTGCCCTCCCCTGCTGGTCATCTTGTGGCAGCCATCTTGTGACGACATGGGCGTGGCCATCTTGTGACCATGGTCATAGGCAGCCATCTTGTGAGGGTGTGGTGGTCAATTTGCATAACACCTCTTTATCATATAAGATGTTCTCTTATTGTTTGAGCCTTGGTTCTGAATTCTTTCCCAGCCAGAACTCAAGTACCGAGGTTGCTGAACCCAGGTCTAGTGTGACCCACGGGTCTAACACCCAATGTCCTTTCAGGGGGGTGACCTCTACTGATTGGTCAGTGCTAGGTCAGGGGTCATTAATCCACGCAGCTGGTGTCGCTTGGTCTGGTTTTGCCACATTTCTGGGCCTGGAGCTGAAACACAACTGAGGCCTAGACATTAGCTCTAGTTCAACCAAAACTCTACGTCTGTGGTCAACAGACCTTAGGCTTTATTCCTAAGACATTTTGACGCTGATCAGAGCCTCCTTGTCCTGAGAATTGAATGTTTAATGGACTGGTAGTGCATGGGAGGAGGAGGCAGGTGAGTCAGCGTGCTGATGGGGCCAGTTTGAAGGGGCCAGTTGTCTCACTTTCCCCATTCCACTTGCCAAGGAACTTTCCTAGGTTTTTACTCTCCTGCCTCAATAATACTTGCCCTGGCTACTATAGAGAGGACAAGAGGTTCAAATAAGATAAGTAAAAAGCATTTTCTGTACTATTCTTTAATTGACTTCAAATTCAGCACGAGATGGTAATGGGATGAGACGGCTCCCAAAGCCCCGTGAGAAACATGTTAAGGTCATAAATGGAAATGTACAAGCCTTTACCTTGATTTTGTTGCAAAGTCCTGCAACAAACCTGTTGGAACTTTAAAACCTGAGGAACTTTAAAATCTCCTGAGGCCTTGATGGCACCCAAACCATCTAAATCTAAACCTCTTCTTGTAGTCAAGCCTCTAGAATTACCTGTGAGTAATTGGAAATAAAATAAATTGTCCAAAAGCAATTAAGCAAAAACAACAACAACACAACACAAACAAACAAAACCCCAAGCTTGGAAATCAGGATAATTCAGTTGAAACAAAACTTACCTGAAATTGCCCAGCTGGTATGGCTCAGTGGTTGAGCTTTGACCTATGAACCAGGAGGTCATGGTACGTTTACCAGTGTGGGGCATGCAGGAGGGAGCAGGTCGATAATTTTCTCTCATGCTTAATGTTTCTGACTCTCTCCTCTCCTTTCCTCTCTGAGATCAGCTAAAAAACAACAACAACAACAAAAAAACCTTAGCTGAATTCGATGATCCCAGTAATGGTTTTCTGCAAATTGTAAATATGGAGTAGTTTGTAACCGTTTCTATGTTCATAAGCAATTTAGAAATTTGCCTGTTTTATTTTGAAAACTGTGTTTTAGTTTTCTTAACTCTGGCCTACTTGCTAGCCACTTTCCACACTCGGCATGATTTGGAAATGAAAAGGTAGTTCCGCCTACATTCACCATTATGAACTTACTTTACCAAACTAACCATTTCTACCTATCACCCAGGGACGAAGATGGTAGAAGAACCACGAGATCTTTCCTCCCGTTTCACAGACATACACAAAGTTCATTTGATCAAGGACCCATCGTTGGACGGCACCATTCCCTTTTCTCCTAAAATTTAATCAAAGTGCCACAGACAGGCATCGGTGGTCCTGTCTCTGGAAAACCGTGTGGAGCCAAAGGTAAGTAAATATATGTGAAGAAAATCTCCTTTCTCCAAGGTGAGGAGAGAAGGTTCGAAATGACTTTGACCCTGTGTCCACTGACCCCTGAGAACAATGTTCCCAGAACACTCTGTATTATTATTTTTTAACCATTGACCTCTCCCTCTCCAACATGCACATAATTATGTTAGCATGTTTCTATTCCTCACAATCAAAGAATCTCTGGAATAACCACACGTGCAGTGATTAGTAGTTTGCTGACATAAATTACAAAAGAGTTGTGCTACATGCCCCAATTTTTACAGGTAATACACACACTCATATAATTAAAAAAGAATCTGGATGTATAAATCCCATGAATTCAACTTCCTAATCTGTAGTGTAGAGGTATGATGATAGGGAGAAGTTGTGAGGATTAAAGAAATAATGACAGTGCAATACTAAGCACAATGACTGGCCACTATTAAATGATCTATAAATGATCAATATAAATGATCATATATAAATAAATGATCAATAGTATATCCCTTTTTGAGTCCGCGACCAGCACTTCAGTTATAATATGCATGATTCAGCCTAATGAAGGCTGTAAAAGCTAAACTTGGGAGCAGGAGCATATGACCTCCTTGAATAAATAGTAAGGTGGAGCCCTGGACTTAAGAGGAAATTTTTGGAAAAGAGTGAGTATGAATAAAAAGTGCAGAATGCCTCGGCCCCATCTCTCGGAATGATGTTTTGTTTTGGTATTATTAGCATGATTAATTTCAACTCCACTTCAAGGTACTGTTATTATAAGCAATTGACACATATAAACATTTGATTCAGCTTAAAACACAGATTTCAATATAGTATCCTCTTAAAGTATTTTATTGATAAAATTCACTGTATATGTGCAGTAGGTATACTGAGATACAAGTGTGCAATTTTATTTTTCAGTAGCAAGAATTAAAATAGGTTCAACACAAACTGGTTGTTTGAAGTAATTTGTAAAATAGAGTGCTTCTGGGGGAAACACACGCTTAAAATTTGCCGAATGGGTTTGGAAAATGAAAAAACAAACAAATGTCTGAACACAACACAAATCAGTATCCACCGGCTATTGGTTGATGCAGACCCCTTGTAACTCACAAATACGCCAGCAGATGGCAAACGTGAGCTATAAATTGGTAAATTTCACTTACCGGAAGTACTGTAGGAATGGCAAGAAATCAGGCAATTATTTACTGAGGGCTTGTTTTGAACTACGATCCTTCAAAAGAGGACTTAGGATCAACTTTTGACTCTGAAAGCCCTTCTCACTTCCCCATTAGATTGTTGAACTTAGAGATGTACGCCATGCTCACAAATGTAGAAAAGAACTATTACATTTTATTAAACAGACTGTTACTGGAAACACACAGAAATGAAATAATTCACAAGTATCTGTCTATAAGGTAAGACCCAAATCCTTTCATTAGGTTATGTTTTCTTGGTGGTGCTCAAAGTCAGGCCTCCGACCAGGGCCCTGGGTATCACCAGGGAAGTGGTTAGAAATGCACATTGCCAGGCCCCTCACAGGCTCACTGACCCAGCACCCTGTTCACCAAGCCCTCCGGGCCATTACACTACCTGCTGAAGGGCGAGAACCAGCACCTAAAGAGTCCTGACTTACAGGACAGGGGCCCCGAGTTGATCGTGTTTATTCAGATTGATGTAAATGCAGTGATAATGAACAATGCAGTTGATAATTTCTTTCATATAGTTCAGGGTGCCAACTCAGTAAATTTTGCAAAATAAGGAACATAAAACACTGCACAATTTGTATAGACTCAGAAAGGTAGAATGCCATTATGTAATTTCCACACATTTCTTATGCTGAATGAAGAATATTACTTTGTATTTCCCTTTGGAGTACACAAAAAGGGACCACATTATGGTAAATTTTGCATTAAAACTTAATGAAACAAGTAAAACTAAAAAAAAAAAAATATGATTCTTTCCAAGGAGTATAGAACAATCTTCAGGAAGGAAAAGAATTCTCTATAAAACATGTGTTATTCTCATTTGTACTTGCACACGTGAATGCTCTACTCTTTCTTAGGCATAGCCAAATCCTCCTGTAATTCTTCTGTCACTGAAATAAGACCAACGACTGTTTTCTATGAACAAAAAATGCTCAGGCCACATTTCGCTTGTAAGTAAGAGAAGGTATACGACAACTGTTTACCTATGTGGTAACTTTATCCTAAACACTACTCTTTTTGCCTCAACTATCTTATATTTAAAATTTCCTTTTTATTAATTCAGCATTTTTCAAGGAACACATAACCTACCAGTTCCCATCAAAGTGTTTCTTCTTCTTCAATCCAGAAGCAACCTTTCCACTTGTCCATAATGTGTAAATACAATTTTTACACAGTTTTAATAAACAGGTTATTCGTATATCACATTAGGGCAATGGTTCTCAACCTGTGGGTCCCGACCCCTTTGGGGGTCAAACGACCCTTTCACAGGGGTCGCCTAAGGCCATCGGAAAACACATATATAATTACATATTGTTTTTGTGATTAATCACTATGCTTTAATTATGTTCAATTTGTAATAATGAAAATACATCCTGCATATCAGATATTTACATTACAATTCATAACAGTAGCAAAATTATAGTTATGAAGTAGCAACGAAAATAATTTTATGAGAGACATATCAATTGGCTGCCCCCCACACAAAAGCCCCAACCAAGGCCAGAATTGAGCCTGCAACCGAGGTATGTGCTCTTGACCAGAATCAAACACGGGACCCTTCAGTCCACAGGCTGACGCTCTATCCACTGAGCCAAACAGGCTAGGGCTATGATGCCATCTTTATGTAATTTATAAATATATTTTTTTAAATAAGGGAATTAGAGGAAATATTTTAATATTGCTATTTGCCCTTTCTCTATAATAGAAGTGTCAGTGATGAAAGAAAATTAGTAAAATGTATATGAAAATTTCCCTCTTGTTAGAGACTGGGACATGCCACAGGACTCAGAGTCAAGTCCTCGCCCACCCGCGCGTGCATTGAAATCATTCGAGACCCAGACCCGGCTGGCCTCACCCCCATCAAGCCCCGCAGGGCGGGGGGTGCAGTCTCAGGTCCCCCAGCCCAGCCTCAGCTCCCCTGGCCCAGCCTCAGGTCCCTCAGCCCCAGCGTGAGGGCATGATGGCACGAGGGCATGATGAATATTTGCATATTAGCTCTTTATTATATAGGATACTGTCCTTTTAAAAAACATATATTTTTATTGATTTTAGAGAGATGAAGGGAGAGGGAGAGAGAGATATAAACACCAATGATGAGAGAAAATCATTGGTCAGCTGCCTCCTGCACATCCCCCACTGGGGATCCAGCCTGCAACCTGGGCATGTGAGCCTGGCCAGAATCACCCCAGGACCCTTCATCCACTGAGCCAAGCCAGCTAGGACCTATCCTGTCCTTTTATGAAAACTGGGGTCAGCATTTCTCATCAGGCCCTATTTCCTTCCCAATTAAATCTGACTGCAATGGAGTTTCAACACCCCTCTTTCAAGGTTTTCAAACTCCAGGAATCTGGCCAATAAAATTAACCATGGTGCTTTCAAGGGTGCCTGTGAAAATTCTCATTTACTTCCATGTCTCTAGCTCAGTGCAGTACAAAAATAGAAAACCATTTTCTTTTTTATTTTTGGAATATTACTTTAAAGCTGGAGTTTAATAAGCCACCTGCTGGCTGCAGAGTTTGTGTGGGTGTAAACTCACAGGCCCTTGACATTAAATGTATTCCAAAGAACATGGTATGGGAAATTTAAATTATTACAATAATGCATCTATCTTTATCCAGTAGCAAAGACTGGACCTTCCCAGTCACAAAAGAATGCAACAGCCCGTGCTGTGTAGCTCATTGGTTGGGCATAGTCCTGCACACTGAAAGGTTGCCAGTTCAATTCAGGTGAAGGCACATGCCCAGGTTGCAGGCTTGATCCCACGTTGGGAGTGTGCAGGCATCAGCCAATTGATGTTTCTCTCTCTCATGGATGTTTCTTCTCTCTCAAAATCAGTTTTAAAAAAAAATACTTTTTTTTTAAAGAATGCAACAGCATGCAGAACTTGACCAGGGAAGACTAGATGAAAGCCACCTTTGTCAGTAAAATAAAGGTCTAGACCAAGAGTCATGCTGAAAAAGGTATTCTGGGTGAGGAGGACCACTAATTAGTGAAAGCAACTCCCACTTTCCCTTGACATTTCTCACTGGGATCCCTGCTGTCTTGTACCATATCCATTTAGTGTGGTTCTGAGAGTGTTAGTTCTGCTTGAATAAAACCTTTTCCTTTGATGTCTTTTATGCAGGTAGGAAGACTAAACTAGGCATTTCAATAAAAAGAGACAGGTATTACAAGGAGTAATCATATCTCACATACAAAGGAAGAATTTTGTTCATGACAAAATTAGTTTTCTATATAGCCTACTGACCCGATCCCCTTCTGAAGCCCAGGGTAAAATGGTCTTGCCCCAGCTTCTAACTGACAGCTCCTGCCTATCACCAGTGATCTCCTAGACTTTCCAACCTTTTTCTTTTTACACTAGAGCAGTGATGGCGAACCTTTTGAGCTCGGCGTGTCAGCATTTTGAAAAACTCTAACTTAACTCTGGTGCCATGTCACATAGAGAAATGTTTTGATATTTGCAACCATAGTAAAACAAAGATTTACATTTTTGATATTTATTTTATATATTTAAATGCCATTTAACAAAGAAAAGTCAACCAAAAAAATGAGTTCGCGTGTCACCTCTGAC